ACTTAGCTGGTTCATGGCTGACAAGCTGAGTTTACCTGGAAGTACAGGATTTTAAAAGAAACTACAAACTACAAACTACTATCATTTGGTGCATAGTTTTTTTCCTTCACTAGGTCCCTGGGATCTTCCACTAGGCTCCAAGGGACTGAATAGAGGATCATTCTCTAGGAAAAAAGAGGAAGCTGAACAGATCAAAACCCTTACTCCATGGAACTGAGGTATTAACCTCAGTACTTGGCTTACAAGCACAGTCCTCCTTTCTTGACATCATCATGGCCAAAGCATCAAACACACATTCCATTGTGCTTCTGCATAGTTTGCTTCCATTTTAGTCCTAAGGCCTTTGAGCATGAAAGTCTTTCCCGTTTCCAAGCAAGGCTTTTCACAGAGAACAAAAAGTTCTCTGCTTCCCACTGGATGGCTGCATCTTTTGTGTGTGTTCACTTTGCTTTGTTTTGGGTAATACCTGATTGCTCCTAGGTAGCTGGCTTTTTCCCTAGGTTTAAAGGGGATTCCTAGACACGAGACAGCTGAATAATACCCTATAGCCATTTTAAGGTATATAGAAGCTGGTTATATATAAACCAAAACCAAAATGTCAATGAAGTAGCCACAGGATGAGGTTGAGAGCTTGCATCTCGTAACACACTGGTTCAAAACCATGACAATTGATACCATAATGTTGTAAATTGTTGTTGATGTTAAGTTGGGACCTTTTATTGACCAGGATGATACTCTGCCAGCTCTACCTCCAGACCGGAGATGATCTCCCCAAGAAACCGTTGAATGTATCTGGACAATTAGATGCTGGACTCTTTGCTTGGTAGATGCTTACAATGAAAGACTCTCAACTGAATTTGACTTGTAATACTGCAACAAGATGGAGGAATCCACCATGGGGGGAGGGGAGGGTTAGGGTAGGGTTGGGGAGAATCCCAGAGCCTATGAAACTGTGTCACATAATACAATGTAATTAATAATAATAATAATAATAATAATAATAAAGGAGATTCCTAGTCCCAAGTAACATATCCACCAGTCTTTTCTCCTTTTGTTCATCTGATGTGATAAATGAAACCATTTCTTGGCCACAGCTGGAGAATAAGGAATCTCAGGTTAAAATGGGTACTCCAGTATAAGAGAATTTCATGTTTTGCTGGATTTACTTTGTTGCTATTTTCTCCTTAAGGCATATCTACCCAGTGATAGCTTATGTCACACCATTTGCTTCTGACCGTGCTTCCAGAACAGTGCTTTTGGAGGAGAAGCCTGGCCCCTTTGTCTTTCATGTCTGGTTCTGTTGTAAGCATGTCACCTGTTTATACTTGGTAAGGACACCCACAAGGGATGAGATAAATCTCAAGCAGTGTCCTGCACAGGATGTGCGTGGAGGAGGGGCATGTCTCTAATGACACTATGACAGAGTGTGCTTGCGTAGCTCTGGGATTGTTAAATTGGTAGGAAAAGTGCATGCATTTTCAGAGCATGTATCACCATTAGGGAAAAGGTTGTTTATTCATTAAAGTTTCCTGGATGAAATCTGCAGGCCAATTTTAAAGAAGGCTATACTTTAGAGCTCTGTGTAGGAGGGACACGCACCCATCGTTACACTTAGCGGTATTCATTCATCACTCCCACTCTGTACTTCAAACTTCTCTCTAAGACAGCAACAATTTTCAGGCACTTAAAATCTTTAAATTTTATACTATACTTACTACAGCTGACTAAACATATAATCAGCTGTCAGTAGAAATCGCAGTAAGTAGATAAATCCAATGTCAGCCCTGAAATTTTACAAATCTATATGCATGGCATGGTTAAAAGACTGCATGCCAGTGAATGTCTGTAACAATAACCAGGAATGAAGGATTTGAGGAATTATGCTTTCCTTCACATCTCAAATTTTCCCTCTTTGTTTAATTCAAATTTTAATACCATAGCAACAAAAAGCAGCTTTTCACATTGCCAAACTATTAAATTTCATTTCTTCCCTCTTCGTCTCCCCTCCATGGCCTATGTCCCTGCCTCAATGGGAATACTTTTACTGTGAAGTCATTTTGATGCTTTTGAAACAAAATTCCTTGGGTGTTGGCCGGGGAAGATCATATCAGCTTCCACTCTGCAGCAAAGAATAATCAAATGGATAATGCAAGTGGAACAATCGTAAAAGCTCCTAGACTGAGTGTTGGAAACACACAGTTTCCAGGTTGGGAGCCAATGCAAATAGTTCAGCCTATAAATATCCAAACATTTCCTTGCCACCCCCAACCATGTATAATAAATATAGCTTGACTTCTGTCTAATGGCATAGGACATTCAAACAAGGCAACTTTGACTAATTGGGTCAACATGTACTGAGAAAATGATCTTAGTCAATTCACCGCTCCTTCCTGAGCTTGTTGCCTTAAAAATGGGATCACCCAATTTCTCAGAGCTGCTTTAAAGATGAGATCTAACAATGCACATCAAGTTCCAAGTGCCATAGCTGGCTACTTTCAGAAGGTGATTCATGAAGTGTCAGCTCTGGCCGCTCGGCTACACACTGAGTGGGTGAGTCGCTTCTGTACACTGCAGGCTGATACTGCTCTATGTGTGCGCAGTCAAGAATGGGTCTGGAGGACTGACACTGCGGTGCAGCAAGTTAAGCCTCTGTCTGTGACATGGGCATCCCATAGCCACCAGTTTGCATTCTATACACTTTGCTTCCATTCTAGTTCCTGCGAAAGTACCCGTGAAAGCATCGCAGGATGTCGCAAGTGCTTGAGCCCCTTCCACCCACGTGGGAGACACAGGTGCAGTTCCAGACTCCAGCCATGGCAGCTACTATCAGAGAGAATCACTAGATAGAAGATATCTTTCTCTGTGTCTTGTAAAGAAATCCGAAAGGCCAGAATGGGTCTCTGGTCTCTAGAAAGAATAAATTCGAATACAGGGTTGACCCTTGGTCTCCCCCTTGCACCTCTCAGCCTCAATTTCCTTTTCCTTCCTTTTGTTTCATTTTTCCTTTTTAAAGGTACATAAACTAACTACCTATAGGCTGTTACTCATTTTTCTGTTTTTCTAATAGAAGTGGAATCTGAGTAACCGAGGCATTTGACTCCTGGTCATTCACACATAGTTGTCTGTCTGCAAACTTCTTACCTCTTCCAGGGTAGTGTATTTGTCCCCAGAAAAGTCTGTCAGCTCCTGTTCTTCTATTTTTAGCTCACAATTCACAGTTGCTTCATGTCACCGGGAGTACACACACTTATAGGCACACACACACACACACACGCGTAAATACACACATGTAAATGGTCTTCAAGAAGGCCATGGAAAATCAAGTTAAAAGCTAAGTATATTTTGAGCAACATTTTTAAAAATTAGTGTACAGTTTTTTCAGAATATGCATTCTGCATATACTTTTGTGAAGAGTCTGTGGTGTATGTGTATGTGTGAGTGTGAGTGTGTATAAACTTGGTCATTCTGAAGGAAAACACAAAACGACTAGAGCAAGCAATATGGAGGCCTTTCAGGAATTTTTATGTGTGTTTCACCACTTACATATTTTATGTCTATTTTGCCTTCCCAGTCTGTAACCTTTTGTTTGCTAACAATTTAAGTATGCTTTATACCTTATAGCTCTAAGCTTAAGCAATTTACTTGTGAAAGCAGCTAAGAAAAAACCTCCTCATTTATATAAGCTCCACTTAAAAAAAAGTAATTATGTCATTTTCATCAGTGAAGGATGAGTTATTAGTTATCAAACCCCAGAAACAGGCACATGTAGGTTCAAGCATAATTTGAGTAAAAGACATAAATATACACAAGATACAATTTAGAGTTGTTGTTTCTTTACAAATATAATCCAGAAAGCATAAAACACAGTATTAACCTACCTCATTAGCAATATATTCTGGTAACTGTGAAAAACAATTGTCTTCATTAGTTTTTCAAGGCATAAAATTTGGCTAGACTAGCACTGAATATGTGGTTCATCATTTTTATTTTCCCTATAGTACCTGTTACTTGATGGGCAATTTTTTCCCTTTTTTCCTACTTTGTTGAAGCTGCCAGAATTGCCTCAACTATTCTTTGGCACATGTCTTTCACACTAATTTCATAAAAGTGAGCAGACAGTATTATGTATTTAAAAAAAATTTAGTGAAGAGATCAAGTCCCATACCTCCTTTTAGACTCACCAAATTCTCTGAGAAATATTGTACTGGTGGTCCAGGGGTCCTCACTTCTTTCCCCACTGTTCTATGTTCTGCTTCCTGTACAAACCACATTCCAGTGAAGATATGTAATAACATATTAGCCTCTTCAGTTCACCAGGACATGAGCCATTTGAGAGAAGTTGTTCCTTTCTTCTCCTTAACCTTCTCTTCTTCCTCTTCTCCTGCTTCCTTCCCCTCCTTTTTCTCCTCTCGTCTTCTTAGCAGGGACACTACTGAGCCTGAATTGAGTCATTTGATAAATTCTCAAACATGGATAGATGTCCTCAGAGAACTCTGTTACTCTTGTCACAAATTTAGTGATGAACAAATTAGGATATCAATGCATTACATTCTCACGTAAGTGTCTTAGAGCCTGAGGTATGTGGGCAGGCAGGGTGCCATATACAGGACTCTGCTTTTGGAGCTTTAATTTTTGTTTTAACTTTCTTTTCATTTTTATGACAAGAATGCCAGGAATGAATCATGAGTTTAAATGGTAGCTGAGAATTCAAGCTATCTGCAAAGTCTTCTTTACGACAGTTCTTTAGAATATTGTCGAAAGGTGCCAGAAAGCACTTGACTTCAGATTAAAATACTATGTGAACTGGAACATATTAGAATTAAATTGCTCTATTTAACTTTTTACTACTTCAGGTATAAAAATTAAGTGGAAGGTGAAAAATTTTTTAAACACCAAAATGAGTAACAAGAAGATAATTCAACCTCCTTCTGCAAGGTTACTCTGCTCTGTTAAGTTGTAACTAGAGTGGAAAGCCTTCCGCATCACATTTGATACCATACCTGTCCTGTGTATGCAAACTCCAGTGCTTGCTTCAAGCCAAGGCTGGTCACGCCATGCAAATTCACTTCATCAGCTCCACTCTCCACCATGCAAAGGCTGAACATGGCCTGAGGTCAGGAAAAAAAGAGAGGCCAAATTATGTGGTTTAGCAAAGAAGGAAGTAAAGATCCTGGGAAGTTTAGAAAAGAAAAAGCTTGAAAGTTAAAGATGGATCTTGATCCTTGAAATGCTTCTACAAAGCTTCCACAAAGCTGTCACTTTGACGTCCCAACAGTCACGGTAACAATGCACACAACAATGCATTCCTCACATATGGAACCTCACTGCAGGTGACCGCGTAGGCCCACTCGCATCCCGTGTTCTCTGCAACCAAGTCATTTGTAGACACCCTGAATATGCTGGCTAGCATGTCAAGGAAAGTGAGTTTTTCTCTCTTGAATTCCTCCGACTTTATTTTGCCTCTTTTAATGACACATCTGTTCCTTTCATCTACCTGTACCACACATTCTACTCCTTTGATTCTCAAAGTGTGGCATCAACTGGGAACTGTTTTGAGTGTGGATATTTAGGGCTTTATTCCTAAGAATAAATCCTAAGAAAAGGCCCAACAATCAGTGTGGTAATAGGACCTGCAGGTGATTTTCATACCTGCTACAATGTAAGAGCTATTGGAGAAGTCATTCAGTGCACACCAGCTTGCTTCAAAAATAATTCTCCTAACTGTCAATTTACTGAAAACCTGTTCTTTTATAAATGATCAGTTTTCAAATGAAAACTGTAATATATTTAAACTTGACCACTTACATGTTTTTTTTAAAAAATAGGACCAAATATTATGTTAAGTTGCACACTTTTAATAAATTTAATAAGTGTGGAATACATCCAATATAGTAAATATGCATTATTTGAAAACCTGTTCTCCATAGGGAAGAATTAACCTTATCCAAGCAAAACCCGACTGTTTTGCTCTACTAGGAATTGATCTCTAGACTCCTGAAAGATCTTATTTGATAACAGTGTCCTTGTCATGCCTGGGTCTGTGGCCACCAACACTTTAACAATGTGATTTATGTTGAACAGAAAGACAGATCCTGGATAATCTCATTTATGTATGAAATCTGAAGTAGTTCAACTCATGTGCCAAGACTAGGGGAAGAGGGAAATGGAACATGTTGCTCAAACACCATGCAGTTTCAGTAATGCAAGATGAATTAGACCTGTTGGCATGGATGTGGGGAATTCAGTATGGGAGTGCTCAGACAACTGAAAATTGCTCTACCCAATGACCCAGCTATGCCACTCATGGGAACCTATTCATAGGAAGTGCAATGTGCATGTGAGAAAGTGACCTTCAGCCCTATGTTTATAGCAGTATAAGCCACAATAATGAAGATATAGGAACCAATCCAGATGCTTGCTGAAAGAGGAATGGATAAATAAACTGTGGTACATGTACTCCAAGTAATACTAGTCAGCCATTAAAAAGAATAGAATTCTACCATTTACAACAAAATAGTTTCAACTAGAGACTATGCTTAGTGAAATAAGCCAATCTCAAAAGCATAATTATCACATATTCCTCTCTCTAATGTAAGATAACCTTCATGCAAAATACAAGACCAATAGCTATATATAAAAATGTACACACATATATTCAAACTGTGTAATGGAGACTAGCATACACGGAAATAAAGATATGTTTTAGTGTGCATCTCCACTCCAAAATAAAAGGAGACTCCAATGAAACTGTTGAAGAAACCTTGACAATAGAATATTACATTTTTCACCATTGCTTATACCTACAATGGCATAATACATTTAAACAGCAGAATATTAGACTTGTGACTATTGCTGGAAGACTAAATTATTGCAATAGTATGGGAGGGAACAGTAGCGGGGAGAATGGAAGGGAGTAAAGGGACATGGTAGTGGGGGATCCCTGTACCTGCAAAACTGTCTCATAGAAAACAATAGAAAATGAATAAAAATGAGTAAGTTTCAAAGATCTGAGGTACACCAATGTGACTATAGCTAACAGTATGCATTCATACTTAAATTTTTGCTGACATTGTATTTTAACTATTCTCACTCCCAAAATAAGTAAATTAAAAAGGAAAGAAAAGAAAAAGTCATTCAGGAGGTTATAGATATGCTATTTACCTTACCTAGTGATTATTTTACAATGTACAATTTTTAAGATTTTTTTAAAAAAATTTTTATTGCAAAGTCAAATATACAAAGAGGAGAGACAGAGAGGAAGATCTTCTGTCCGATGTTTCACTCCCCAAGTGACTGCAAAGGCCGGAGCGGCACTGATCCAAAGCCAGGAGCCAGGAACTTCTTCCAGGTCTCCCACGTGGGTGCAGGTTCCCAAGGCTTTGAGCTGTCCTCGACGGCTTTCCCAGGCCACAAGCAGGGAGCTGGATGGGAAGTGAAACTGCCAGGATTAGACCTAGTGCCCATATGGGATCCAGGTGTGTTCAGGGCAAGGACTTTTAGTTGCTAGGCCACTGTACCAGGCCCACAATGTACAATTTACTAAAATGTCAACTTTCATATTTGCAATATTTAAAAAGAATTTTATTGGTCAATTATATACCAATAAAGTAAAGGAAAAAGCTCTGTAACATTTTTAAAAGATTCATTAATCCATTTGATGGCCAGGCGCGGTAGTCTAGCAGCTAAAGTCCTTACCTTGAACATGCCAGGATCCCATATAGGTGCTTCTTCTAATCCCGGCATCCCCGCTTTCCATCCAGCTCCCTGCTTGTGGCCTGGGAAAGCAGTCAAGGACAACTCAAAGCCTTGGGGCCCTGTGCTCACGTGGGAGACCAGGAAGAAGTTCCAGGTTTCTGGCTTTGGTTCAGTACAGCTCCAGCCATTGTGGCCACTTGGGGAGTGAATCAATGGACAGATATTCCTCTGTCTCTCCTCCTCTCTGTATATCTGACTTTCCAATAAAAATAAAATAAATTTTTAAAAAGACTCATTTGTTCATTCATTTGAAATGCATAACTACACAAAAGTGGGAAAGAGATCTGTCTGTTGGTTCACTCCTCAAAGGATCATAATGATGAGGGCGGGACAGTTGAAGGTGAAACTCAGGAACTTCACTCAGCTTTCCCTTGTGAGGAGCAGGGCCCGAGTACTTGGCCACATTACATTGCTTTCCCTGGAAGGTGTACTAGAAGTAGAGCAGCCAGGATTTGAGCCAGAGCATCCACCCATACGGGATGCCAGAATCATAGGTAGCAACTTAACCCACTATTCCACAATGCTGGCTCTGAAAGCTCTGAATTTAAAGTCAAGATCCTGTCTACGGCCATACCACCCTGAATGCGCCCCGATCTCGTCTGATCTCGGAAGCCAAGCAGGGTCGGGCCTGGTTAGTACTTGGATGGGAGAAAGTCAGGATCCTCAGCGGAGTATAGTGAGTGAAGGCAAATCTAACCAAACACTTTTGGGCTTGAACACTCACAATAGTTGGTGCATGATAGAGTCAGTTTACTTAACGGAAAATTGTCTAAAAAGTTCACTCACTGCATAAGCTGATTTGAATATTACAGATAGTCCATAGGAGGGCTTTATAATGATGTATAACTTTTGGTAAGCTCTTAGAAAAGCTTACTTTCTGTCATAGGAACGGAATGAAAAAAAATTTTTTTTATTTGTTCTTGGTTGAAAGGATTGATACATGAAGAGAAACTCAGTTACGTTTTAGATTTTTAAAATGCTTAGAAAAAAATCATCATGTTAAATTGATTCTGCTTTTGTATATGAGACTTCAAATTTAACAGCAAAAATCTAATTAAAAAACTTGAAATTTATATAATTCTGAATTTTCAGCTAGATTTCTCATAGTCATTTCAAAAAGAACCTGAAAGGAATTGTGGCTTTCCAATGTTTGCTTTTTTAAAGGGTTTATTTTTATTACAAAGTAAGATATATAGAGGAGGAGAGACAGAGAGGAAGATTTTCCATCCAATGATTCACTTGTCAGGTGGCTGCAATGGCCAGAGCTGTGCCGACCCAAAGCCAGGACCCTGGAACTTCATCTGGGTCTCCAACATGCGTGCAGGGTTCCAAAGCTTTGGGCCATCCTCGACCGCTTTCCCAGGCCACCAGCAGGGAGCTGGATGGGAAATGGGACCAACAGGATTAGAACCGGTACCCATATGGGATCCCGGCGCACACAAGGCATAGCCGGTTAGCCCACACTAGGTTATTGTACCGGGCCCCAATGTTGCTTTTTGTAGTTCAGGTGGATGACTTTTTGCTATTCCTTATACCAACTTTATTTGTGTAGATCTTCCAAGTTGCTATTGTAGCCAGTGTGGTGATCAGCTGCTTCATATCCACCCCATACATGAAGTAAGACAGAAAGGGTTCAAACTGCATAACAATGATCTGGCTGAAAGAAATGGAAAAATTTTCTGAGAGCAAATGTTAAAATACAGAACAAACTGTCAGGGGAGTTTTCAAAATCTGTTTTCCTTAGGTCTGTTAAAAGCACCCAAGGTAATGATGTCATAAACGAGAGATTCTCCATCAGAACATGTGAGCCCCTGAACTTGAAGACTGGCCTAGCAGAAATGGGGAAAGAACACAACTCCATAAAGAATATATAGCTGTATTTTTACATGTTTGAATATCAAACAACAACCCAAATATCCCCAACAAATTGGTAATAGCTTTGTATGAATGCAATTAAATACTTTTTTCTAGGCTATATTACAGTCACATGTCACTTAATGGTAAGGAACATGTTCAGAGAAGTGACATTAGGCAGTTTTATCACTGTGCAAACATTTAAACAAACCTAGAGGGTGTGAGTCAATCATTCGGTGCTGCCTCTTGATGCAGTCATGAGAGCAGTAAACACAGTCATATGATGCACTTGAGAGTGTAACAGCATTTTGTGTTACAGTAACTTTTTAAATATAAGAGGCAAGTGCTAAAATAACAATAAAAGCGGGATTTAGTATAGAATAGTATGTACATAAGCAGCAACCTTATTGCTTATTATCAAGTAACATGTCATGCCTTAATTGCATGGACTAAACCTTATGCATCTTGCACTGTAGTTGTGTTGACATCAGAATCACTA